TAGCCAGTCTCCAGACCTCAATCCAACAAAACATTTTTGGAGGGAGCTTAAACTCTGTGTTGTTCAGCGACAGCCCCGAAACCTGACAGATCTAGAGGAGATCTGTGTGGAGGAGTGGGCCAAAATCCCTGTTGCAGTGTGTGCAAACCTGGTCAAGAACTACAGGAAACGTTTGACCTCTGTAATTGCAAACAAAGGTTTCTGTACCAAATATTAACACTGATTTTCTCAGGTGTTCAAATACTTATGTTCAGCAGTGCAAGACAAATAAATTCTTTAAAAATCATACAATGTGATTTCCTGAAATTTTTTTAATTCTGTCTCTCAGAGTGGGAATGCACCTACAATGTGAATTTCAGACCCCTCCATGATTTCTAAGTGGGAGAACTTGCAAAATGGCAGGGTGTTCAAATACTTCTGTTCCTTACTGTATATGCTGTTAAAGTATTCTAGACCACAAATAATAGCGTGTCACTCATGCATTGATGTAAAAGCAGGATTTAACTCTTATAGTTGGCTGAAGTGCAGCTATTTTGAACTGTTTTGTATCCAAGTACAACTACTGATTATTTTCATTAGGGATTAAACTGCTGATTATTTTCTCCATTAGTCGACTGACTGGTTTGTAAAATGGTAGTGAGAAATGCTGTCACACTGCTCTAAAGAGTTATCATAATAGTTGCTAATTTATTGTAGGTGTGTGACAGTGCAGCCAGACTGGTCCTGTCTGTACACTCACTCACTTATGTAAGCTGGAAGATTTCTGCATGTGTTTCTGTGGCCAGACCAGGATCGGTTTGTGTCCTTTTGTAAGTCAAAGATCAGCGAACAAACAGCCAAAATCATTTTGATAGCACATTTTACGACCGATGTTTGCACATGCACACTTCTGGACACATACATTGATCTGCAGAGAGGGATGGTGTTCTCGAAGGTGTTCATTTTTGGGATATCCATAGTAATCCCACACTGCTGATTTAAAATTTTTAATTTTGTGATATTATCAGCCTCCTTTTCTCCTGCCATTTGTCCTGTGTGTGTGTGTGTGTGTGTGTGTGTGTGTGTGTGTGTGTGTGTGTGTGTGTGTCTGTGTGTGTGTGGTAATTATGGTTAGTGGAGTATGACAGTTTTTGGTGGGGTCCCTGATAGACTAGTGGCTAGGATTCAGCGCTCTCGCCACTGCAGCCCAGGTTTGAGTCAGGGTTGTGTCAGGAAGGGCATCCAGTGTAAAACACGTGCCAAATGTCAACATGGCATGGTGACCGACCCCTGATGGGAAAAGCCAAAAGTGATGATCACATGGTATGACAATTTTCATCCCATGATATACCATGAAACTGATATACCGCAACCCTGCTCATACCTGTGCACACTTTAGATCTCATCATTAACCTTTAATGCATGCATATTTATTTAAAGCATTATGTGCATTCCAGACAAAGTGAAGGTGCTCTCATTTGTTCCATTTCTATAGCTAATCACACTAAGTGTTTTGTTGGGATGCTAAGGAATGCTCTCCCAAGGGCTTATTGTTATCTGAGAACCTGTTTATGAATTATATAATGCCAGAGCCAGGCTGTTTGCTTCACCTGAAATTTTCCCTTGTGCATCCTTTATGCCTGCATTGAATCAGCATAATTAATCTGATAAGTAATTCAGTTCATCTTTGAGGAGTATGGGAGTAGGGCAGCTGGAAAATCAATATGTATTGTTAAAACAAACAGTCAACTCTCTCTTTAAACAAACCCCCTGCCGCCCTGTAAGTAGTCATTTATTTGGGACCTTTGAAACATGGTTCCAGTGCACTTTGTTATTGAGATATAATATTCATCTTTCTCTGTGAGTGAATTAAAATTAGACGTTATATCATAGAACAATTAAATATTGTTCAGATCCACTTAACTCTTGTCCATTTATTGTCAGTATGTTTTCTCCCTTCTGATAACCAGTTGACTCTTACTCCAACCCTCTTCCATAGTAGCCCCCCCCCAGCTCTGTTTTTCTTTCTGTACCCATCTACACTGTCCTCTGTATCTCACGTGTCTTGTGATGCCATTGGTTTTACTATTGCTCAGTAAATGTCCAGGAGCCACGCAAAAAAAAATCTTTATTAATGTAGGTAGGCAGACTGATAAAGCCTGCCCATAAAAACAAGGGATCAGAGATGCAGGATGGCATTACACTGTAGGAGGCACCACACACTGACTGCTCGGAGGCAGGCAGCAGTTGCTTAGCAAAGAGACAGAGTGTACATTCAGGGAGCAGAAAAGGGAGGGAACTCTACGCCAGGAAAGCAGAGGAAATACTGAGCAGGGAAAACAAGAGGGAACAGCATGAATGATGAGCCGAAACCAGTGGATAAAATCAGCTGACTGCCTTGTGTTTTGAACAGGTTGATGCTGTGAGGCGAAAAAGAGAGAGGATGAAGGAGTGGGAGGGGGAGCTGTAGCATCACAGTCGAATGTATAATCAGCAGCTGCTGTTATGTGAGCAATAGCGGAGGGAGAGAGAGAGAGAGAGAGAGAGAGAGACATAGACTAGATCCACCTTGTTCAGTCACCGTAATGTTCTGGCTGAAGATGAATAGAACCATGGAGACTTAACAGCAGCATGAGAGACAAGCTTCTCCTCCTGCCACCTCACCCAGGACAGACTGGCACAGACAGGTCATAGCCTGGCATTTCTGCTTCTTCATCCCTCTGTGTTGCTGCTGCAGCTCTAATATATTTTTAGCATGACAGGCTCAGGCATTGATGTGTTCACTTTCTTTACTTTTTGAATCTGTTCTGTATTTTTATTTTTTTTATTTTTTTTTACAATATGTGTCTTTTGCTCCGCTGGTATCTTTTTCTCTTCCATCCTCTCCCCCATGATTTCTTAACGTCTCATTTTCACATGCTGTAACGGCAGCCTTTTTCTCAGGAATCTACTGATTGGGTAAGCAAACAGCTGACTGGGTAGCCACTTGATGTTGACATGTTGTGCTTGCTGTCTCGTTATACATATGTCATGTATGTCAGCATAGTCGTTACAAGATGTACACTTCAGGTTTTAACATTATTGCTATTTTTGTGCCTTAGGCTACTGTGTATTGGCCAGCTCTGTGTTGGTGCTTCAAATGTGTAGACTGTAGAAATGGCTGATGCCCTGTGCCTGCAGTACCTGTTAGATTGAGCACTCAAGCTTGCACCCAGCTGGCATCTCAGTGAAGCCTCACCCCTACTTCATCCTCAATGCCAGGTGTCATTAATGTGATAAAGGCCAGTGACCTCTGAACTCTTGTGTGTAC